CAAGTGCCAAAATAGTATAAGTGAGCGTTTCATTGTTTCAAAACGTTTTAATGTATCGCACAATATGACTATCTTTGTAACACATCACATGTTATGGAATGGGAGAAAAGTAAAACATACTGACAGTTATTTAATTTGATCTTTGAACCCAAGAAAAATATATAACAGTTCAAGCCAACTTTTTAATACCACTTTACACGGAATCACTCAATAAAATTTATTAAGAGCTTCCGATCAAAGTAAACTAACTATATAAATCAGAACTAAAATGTAACCTAATGGTGTTACAAATCAGCACACAAGAGAGCTAATAATTTTAATAATAATATTTTTACCATTTATTAAATTGCATATTGATCATTCTAATAATGATAATACCACATGAATACGTGTGTTTTGCAATAGTCACGTTAGAATACTGAAATAGCCTTGATAATGTAGAGATCGAGGACAGAGGATCTAGGTTTACAAAATAGAATCTTGTACTTACGTAAGACACTAACGTCACCTGCATCCATTGGTCCTAGCCTGGCAAGGGTATCGAGTTGTTTGCAGACCTGAAGTCATGACAAGTAAATTTTGTTTACACACACATATATATATATGTATAAATACACAGTACGTTTTATGTAGTGCAAAAATGATTTGATTCTACTTCTAAATAAAAAAACCTTTATACTACAAACGAATATGTTTTACCGGTAACCTATAAACCTCAAGTTGCGAAATTGTTTTATATCTTTCATTAACGGTAAGAGTCCATATATCGCATTATACTAGGTAATATATGTTTTTGTTTTTATAACACTCAGTGTAAAAAAACTAACCAAATTAAAACTATTCATTTTTCATATAAAATACAGAGCGGATTATACCAGTAACAACTGGATTTAATTGCAATATTTATGATATTTTTTGTTTGATTTTTTTTACTCTTATGCTATTAGGGACGTTTTAACCAATAAAGTTATCTAACCATCCTTATAACTTAGCCTGAGTATTTCTATGGAAGGTATTTGTGTGAAATAACAATACATGAATTCATCAATTTTTAGAGAATTTATAAGGTTCGTTTGTTTGTTTTTAATTTCGCGCAAAGGTATATGAGGGCTATTTGTGCTAGCCGTCCCTAATTTAGCAGTGAAAGACTAGATGGAAGGCAGCTAGACATCACCACCCACCGCCAACTCTTGGGTTGCTTTTTTACTAACGAATAGTGGGATTCACCGTCACATTATAATGCCACCACGGTTGAAAGGGCGAGCATGTTTGGTGGGAAGGGAATTCGAATCCGCGACCCTCAGATTGCGAGTCATACGCCCTAACTACCTGGCCATGCCGGACCTTATAAGGTTCAGAAATACTTTAAAAACATAAAATATATATTCGACTTTGCATGATACATTTTTACTTTTTTTTAACAGAGAAAAGGCACAAAATGTTCATGGATTACAATATTTACCTTCGGTGACTCGGTGGTAAATCTGAGAGCTTGTAGCACTAATAATCGGGTTTCAACACCCAGGATTGTCAAAGCTCATTGTGTAGCTTTGTACTTAAGAACAAACAAACAAAAACCTTCCTAAAACACAAAATTGGCACTAAGGTATTAATTTCAAGCAATTTTGTTCAGAAACAGTTGAGCAAAATGTGCTTGAAAAGGTATGTAGAATCCTAACGTTAATTTTAGTGTTGCAGCACCAAGATTAAACGTTGTAACGTACAGAAATGGAAAACAGATAGTTCTACGTTAAACTTAAATGTGTATAATACAAAAATGATGTATTTACACCTACAAATCTGTAATTTCTGTAACTTATTTAGACTCTATCGTATAGAAAACTGTTGTCAGCATACCAAGAATACTGTTGTTTTGTGAACTTCGCGCAAAGCTACACGAAGGCTATTTGCGCTAGCCGTCCTAATTTAGCAGTGATAGATTAAAGGTAAGATAGATAGTCAACATCACCCACCGCCAGCTCTTGGGCTACTCCTTTACCAACGAATAGTGGGATTGACTGTCACAATATAACGCTCCCACGGCTTAAAAGGCGAGCATGTTCGATGACGAGGATTTGAACCTGTGACTCGCAGGTTGTCAAGAATACTGAGATGAAGATTTGGGATTAGGTAAAATGTATTAATATCACTAACTGATATAATATTTCCATGTGTAGTTATGCTTAATATCACATGTTTAAAAGATATTTGTAAATAAATGTTCTAGGAAAATGAAAAAGACAAATTATTCGAGTGAGAATTTGGTGCCAATCCGGCGTTTACTTTTTTTATAGTTTTTAGGCTAATACAAGCTTGAAAAATTATCAGTAAGTAATTTGAATAGGAAAAAAAAACAATACACGCAGTAAAAAGATATAATAATTTACAGAGAATTGGAATAAATAACTTTATACCTTTTTTTTTAATCGAATGCAGATGTTGAAAGAGTTACAATTTCTCTTAAGTAAGTTACATATAGAGAAACCTGCAGAGCTAGAAAACCCGCATTCCTTTAACCAATGGAAGAACCAATAAACTCGCGTGTCATAAAGGGGTAAAAAGACTAAAGCTGTTTGTTTTTGGAACCAATTAACATCCACTCAATGCTTATTAACATTGTTATGGTGTTAACGCCTTTAATAAACTGTAAAAGCATGATTGTAATTAATTACACTTGCCATGAGACATTAGTGTTAGACCTATTATATTTTTAACACTTAGTTCTTTGCTCAGGCCCTTAAATGTTTTTCAAGAAGAAGAATAGTGTATGTTTGTATTTAAAACACAATATGTCTGTCATATTCATTGCCGACGACGCGTTTCGCTCAATATAGAGCTCATTAGGCTGGCTGGGATACAACAAACACAGGAGTAGTCTGAACACTATTTGTATTACCCATTTGCTACAATAACAGTTGTTATGGATTGAATGTATTTTCTAAACTGGGGAAGCATGATTATAATCAATTATGCTTGTCATATAACATTAGTATTTGGCCTACCGTATTTTTAAACACTACGTTTTTTATTCAGTTCCTTAGGTGTATTTTTTGTAAGACGAAGAACACTGAAGGTACTAAATAAAGAACATAATAGGCCTATTAAGGAGATGACAAGTATAATTATTTATTAATATTGTTTCAAATCGAAAGCACATGTAACAGAGATTTTCCTTTTAATTAATATTCAATTAAAATTGATTGAAAATTTTCATTTTAATACAGCAGTTGTTCTACTGAAGAAAAAATATTCTATTTTAAATAAAGGCACCTGTATTTCATAAAATAAGAAAGATATGGCAAATGCAAACATTTATAACTGTTTTTTTACATATTTTTACCACAGGAACATTTCGTTCAAACGTCACAAGATATATAATTTTCTAATAGATTGTGCTGCTCTCTAGTAACAAATTTGCACACTATTTAATTTATAGAGTAAAATGCTACTCCCCCTGGAAGCCTTTTCTGTGTGTTCCGTAGTTTGTTTGTTTTTCCCTTCTGTTTCAGAGTAAAATGTCCTATACGAAGAAGAAGTTTGAGTATTTCATGTAGCTTAGCTTGTTTGTTAAAAAAAAACAACAGAGAATTAGAACATGTCATCTTTAATGACAAATTTAACATTTCGTTTTTGTATGCATTATACATAGCCAAGGACAGAAAACTTTAGTTCGAGTATTTTCTCTATATGAAACATTTCCTGTACTTCATTAAAATTATAATAAGTGTTATTTGTTTTCTATAATGTTTTGTTTATTTTTTAATTATGACATGAATGAATATATTATAAAAAACACATCTTAATTAATCTATGAAACATAAAAAAAAAAACATGAAAACACGTGGTCGAGTACGTTTGATAATAATATTATTAAATCTAAAGCAATTAAAAAATAATAATTTAAACAGGCCTGCATCTCGTTTCAATTTTATTTAAGGATCTTAGGAAATATTTTTTCATCTTCTATACGTTTATGAAAACAACAAACTAATTATGGAAACCAGAAGTCGAAACTAACTAAATAATAATAATAATGATGTTATTTTTGTTTTATCGGTTTTAACCAATCCCTCTTGAAATAAGAAACTAAGAAATTTTTTGTTTTTTTTGCATTTAGTTTTTACATATTTTATTTTATTTTATCTGTTAAGTAAAACAACTCCCTTATTGAAAAAGTTAGGTAAAAACAATAATAGCACAAAAAAAAGAAGAAAACAAGTAAAAAGTTTATTTCAAGAAGAGCATTTTCTTACCACACTTATGGTATTCAAAATGTGTATGTTTTACATTCTACCTTTATATTGATCACCAGTCATATCCTTACTTGTAAAAAGTTGTTGCTATGTTTAACGAAGCCCTTAATAGACGGCCTGCTGGTAAAATATCCTGTCCAATAAGCATGCGGGTCACTTGCATAAGGAAAAAAGTCATCAGATTTGGTAGGCCACGTCTTATTGGCTTGATTTAGGGCGTAGAGGTAGCAAGATGGTGTCGAATAAAACACGTTCACGTTACTTCCATTCTTTTGCTTAAAAAACGAATTAAAAATTTAATATATTCAGCTGTTTATATTACACTTTTCTAAAAACAAGTTATAGATTACCTCATACGATAAGATGATAGTTTAACACAACTACAGTATAATACAGGGAGTTAAAAGTTCAAGGTTTAGATTCTTGACATTGCAGACATTGTGTTTTCTCTTTTATCACGAAACTCGTTTTTACATATCTTAGTGTTTATATTATTTTTTATCCTCCACAATATCATGTATTAATCATATTCAATTTTTCTTTTACTTTTTACTTTTGCACAAACCTAGTATTGTTTTACTTTCATTGCTGTGAAGCCTAGCAGATGCAGGGTGAATTAAATGAAAAGGTAAACCATTTGTTTAAAAATAGAAAAAAAAAATGTGATTAGGTATTTGGAAGTATTATTTCAGATTAGTAGAGGTAATGATTTCACCAAAGCAGAAATGGTTTAGATGTTTTGATAAACAGGAACTTTAGCTTAGCGTTTCACTGTGATAATTTTTTTTTCTCACAAATTATAATCGATAAGCAAAAATAAACTTATTTGTCAGGATAGAATTCCAGTTAATAATGGTTGGTCCTTATTAAAGCATAAACTTTAGCTCTAGAATACTGACAGCAAGGAAGGGTTTATCTGTATTTGAAGGGTGGGTTATTACAGTGATTTATGATTTAAATAAATGAAACATTGTAAAAATAAAACAAGGCTTAAACACTTCACTTTAGACTTTCTAGTCTTTATTAGAATGTTGAACTAGGGTTAATATGCCTAAGTTTCAAGAACGTCAGAGCTGAAAACAGACACAGAAGTGCTGGGTTAAAATGGCGTGCATGTTCAAATAATTTTTCAAAAACATATTACTTTTTGGAATTGAAGTCCCAGTTAATAAGCGTGCGCTGGTTATTAAGATTTATGAGGTATCGTGAAATCAATTTATGAAAAAGAAATGTTTATGATGTTGGTTATTATAGGGAATACTTATTTTGATCTCAGTTGTTTGGGTTTTCTTGAAGCAAAATAATTCAGTTGATATACGGTGCGATAAAAAAAACAAATATGGTGCTGAGTTACACATATCATTTTTGACAGAAACGTTATTTATGTTTTCTATATCGCTGTGATTAGTTTTTACTTCAACCATTTTTACATTTTATTATTTTTATGTGAATAACGTCCCATGTTTAGTAGTTTACGTTAAGTAATGTAAGTCGTAATGCATAATTAGTACTGAATTAAGACTAAAATCATAAATGTTACGTGTAATAAAATGTGATATGCGATAATTACTTTTAAATATCAGTAGAAAAATAAAATTAATCAGTTACTTTACAAATTAGTAGTTAAGTGATGATTATTTCCAAACAAATTGATAAAATAAAAGAAGAAAAAAAAACGTTTATTATTCATCAAACATCAACGCAACCTTTACCTTTTCGTTCACGTACTTGATAATCTTGTCCAAGTTTTTATACCATAAGTTCGCGTTCTGATAGTTAAAGTCTTCTCCCATCGTCATTACAATGTGATTGGTGGTATACATTTTTGCCTGCAGTATAGGAACAACGAAATTTAGGTGAAAAACGAAAATTACCGACCTTTTAATTAATTCTTATTATTTGCTACACATAGATTCTATTATTTTGAAATAGATTTTGGAAGATCGTCTTCAATTAACATGTATTAATGTGACTATATCCGAACATACAATAATCCATGAAATTTCTTCTTTTTTGAACCTAATGGTGTTCTAAATTCGACTGCAAAGAGCTCATTTCAAAGTGATTTTTTTTAAGTTTATATTTAACTTGAAACATAATTGCTAAAATGTTTATTTTTTTTAAATATGTATTCAGTCGTAGGTCGTATTTATTATCCAGTTAGTTACCCAAGAAATTTTCGTAGCTGTAATGCACATATTTAAATAATGGCTCTTTATTTTAACAAATGTTTTAACTCTCAGATCACATATTTAAATAATGGCTCTTTATTTTAACAAATGTTTTAACTCTCAGATCACATATTTAAGTAATGACTCTTTATTTTAACAAATGTTTTAACTCTCAGATCACATATTTAAGTAATGACTCCTTATTTTAACAAATGTTTTAACTCTCAGATTGGCGATTTATTTTTATAGTGTTTAATTCAGGTGTGAACCTACCTATTATATCACATCGGGTAAGTTTATACTTTTATTTCTGCTACAGTATTCAATGTAAAGAACTGATAAAAATGTAATGAAATTACTCATTTTCTGCCTAAAATTACATAACTGACATAAGCAGTAATTAAGGAATTAATGACAGAACTAATGTTATTTTGTTTATATTTTTCGTTTGTCTCATAGGTTATTAAAAACATTGTAGCCAAGAAATAAACTCATGGACACACAAGAAATGTGAACCGTAAATAGATTAGAAAAATGGATTAGTTAACGTTTCGACTTTTCTCAGGATGCTTTTAATTTTAATCATACAAAGAATTACAAATAAGTCTTAAGTTCGAAACATTGATAAAAAATGTAAGTTGCTTATATGGAGCTGTTCAGAATCCTAATTTCATTGCTGCTTCAACTTAAAAGTCGGATTCTAATAATAATGTTTTTATTTATTCTTGTGACACTGGATATACGTGTTACATTAGATACTTACCTGTTCGTGAGCGATCTTGATGAAACTGTCCACTCTTTCGTTAACGTTGTAATCATGAAGACGGGGATCATCCTGGAAGTAAATAAATGTAAGTATAATTATGAGATCGATTTTCTTACTTTAATTCAAATGGATTTAATGACGTCACAGCAAACCCGTGACAACGTATTGTTTGTTTATATTTTTATAACCTGACCTAAAAAAACACTTGAAAATATAACTATTTAGTTACAAACTGGATATCACAATATTCTAAAAAAAAAGAAAAAAAAGAGAACAAATATTATCTTATAAAAAAGTAGTAAATTATTTATATCTTTTAAAAATTAATACCAAAGTTTCACCGAATAATCAGTAATAACTAAGTGATCCCTGATGGATCATTAGAAAATATATTCAAGAAATATAATCCAAAATGTTTTTTGTTTTTGAATTTCGCGCAAAGCTACACGAGGGCTATCTGCGCTAGCCGTCCCTAATTTAGCAGTGTAAGACTAGAGGAAAGGCAGCTAGTCATCACCACCCACCGCCAACTATTGGGCTACTCTTTTACCACCGAATAGTGGGATTGACTGTCACATTATAACGCCCCCACGGCTGAAAGGGCGAGCATGTTTGGTGTGACAGGGATTCGAACCCGCGACCCTCAGATTGCGAGTCGAGTGCCTTAACCACCTGGCACCACTTTCAAGGTTTCATGTTTCATCTTTTTTCTTTTATTTTGAAATAACGATACCCAGGCTACGACACTAGGGTTTTAACAAAAGCAGCCTCATATATTTAAAATTTTTCAGCTGATTTGTCTTACAATAGGATAAGAATCAAATCAAGCGAACAATTTGAATTACATGAGGTCAGGAACTTGCGAAGGATATGACATTTACAGGTGAGTATATCTTTATGGGATCATTTGTGCTATGCCATATGCACATAAATTTACAGATTTTGATTCAATTTATCTAAGCAGAAAAAGTAGCAGATATATTTCTGGAACACGGCCATCACTGAAGATCTGAATCTACTGAATAACAGTCGCGGTATTATTTGTTAAAATGTTTAAACTATATTCACTATTTATACACACTCGTACATACATATCTGTTCACTCAATATATTTGAAAACGCAGCAAAAACAAACTCATAATACCTCGGTTTACGTGTCATTGCCGATAAGAATGTTAATTAACACTGATGGCATATCCAGTCAGGAACTTTATAATACAAGTGATTACTGAAAGGAAAATGGCCGTTACGAACTTAAATAGTATATTAGCATGATTTCTAAAACTTCTATTCTAAGCAATGGTTGAAATAATGTTAATGAAATTTTGCACAATATTTCTGTAGCTTATTATTTTCTTGTCATTTTATATTTCATTGAAGCAAAATTCGTGTATCATATCTGAAGTAATTTATTTGTTTTGTTGTTAAGCGCAAACCTACACAATCAGCTATGTGTACTGTGTCAAATATGGGTATCGAAACGCGGTTTTTATCGTTATAAGCCTTGAAGAAATATGAAGAAGATTGTTTGAAGTTAAGCACAAAGCCACACAAAGGGCTATCTGTGCTCTGCCCACCACGGGTATGGAAACCCGGTTTCTAGCGTTGTAAGTCTGCAGACATACCGCAGTTCCACTGGGGGTCTTGAAAGAGATACTCTGAGCTAACTGCTATGGAATGAGTTGTCCTTATTTTTAGTTTCCAAAAGTTTCCCATGTCGAGAGATCTACAATTAAATCTATATAGTTTAATTAGTATCCTGAAAGATTGTTGGCACGATCATCGACCAAATGTCAATGTCATAGTAAGTAATCACGTAGTATCTCATTGAAATACATAGAAACAATGAAATTATTTGTCACCAACTTCAGGTCAACGGGGTTAAAAGAAACTAAGTGGTAGACATTTACATGGTATCCAGAAGGGGCACTGTTGTTTGTGTAAATAATATTTTTACTTATCCAAATAAGAAGATTATTAGCATGTTTAACAATTATAGCCATAAGAGAATCTTATGTGGATTATGATTATATTTCATTATTTTGACTTCTTACAGTATTAATTCTGGAAAATAACAAATAATGAAATTTATTTTTGAAAACATTCAAAAAAAAAAAAAAAACTCGCTAGGATTTCCTCATTTATCACAATGCCAAGCCCACAGTTTTAAATATTCGAACGAGTTTTTAACAGAAAAAATAAACATGATATGTCAAGACATATCAAAATATCTAAGTGATAGAAGTTGTGGAGGGTTTAAAATAGGGGTCAAAGATCTAGAAACGTATGGGAGCATAATGAGACAAACTGATGTAGTACGTGATATGTGTGTGTGTGTGTGTTTTTCTTATAGCAAAACCACATCGAGCTATCTGCTGTGTCCATCGAGGGGAATCGGACCCTTGATTTTAGTGTTGTAAATCTGTAGACTTACCGCTGTCCAATATATTACTATGAAAACAATATGTCAGATTTTAAAAATAATATACATATGTATATAACTTCTTCTTTTTGCCAATTGTCGAAATAAATAGCTTTTAGTTATATTTCTTAATAGTATAAATATATACTATGTTGTTGTTGGGCTTATGATTCTTCTACAGTAGGTGTCTGTGACTTGTTAGTGATAAATCCAACGATAAATAAACATCACGCACTTTACTTGTTTTCAAATAATAATATATATATTCGGAACAAGTTAAACGTATGTACAACAAAGTCTTCACACTATAGATATTACAGGCATATCATAAACACTATTTATATATAGTTCTCTTCTTGTTGTCAAAAGCCCTCTTAGGCCTATTCAATTACTTTAGAATTTTAGTTGACAAGTCGAACTATCTTCTCTATATTACTATCGTACTAGTATTCTGTGTGTGATTCACTTACAAGTTACACTACAGTTGTGGCGCAAGTTACCGTAATTCGTTTGGTCTTCTTTCTTCTGAAGATCTTCTGTTACTCTTGTCAAAGTGGTACAGGCTGATTTAATTACTTTAGAACCACGCTTTACAGAATAAAATTATCCTTCTTATCTTTTTTTTATACTGTTAGTTTCACTCTAACATATTAAACGTTAGGCCTATCACCTTTGCGGTACTTAACTTCACATAACTATATTATATTTTCCTATTAACTGTTTATTGTTATCTGTCTACTGCTTCCCGCTAGTCTCACGCTACTTATATCTTTATTACATAGTTGTCTGGCCACTTTCTATATGCTCGACACCAATTAGTTATTAACCAAACCTTCTACAATCGTCTGCTTTTAACTCTTATTATAACAAAACATAAAAAACATAAAAGGTAATAAAAATATTCACTCACAAATATATAAATTAATCACTAATATTTAAACCAAACAGTCTTTTATATCGTGACACAATATAAGAGATGTTGTTTGTATAATTTCGTGCAAAGATACTTATGCGCCATCTATCATCGAAACTTCAAACACATTTAATTTCTGGTTTTCTTTCCAAAAATCACACTCACTCTCGAAAGACGAAATAGATTCAAAACTTACCATAATAGGAACACTATCACACAGAGTATCAAAGCAGAACCCTGCAGGTGGACTATAGGTGTTTGGCAAAACTCCCGTGAAGAGGTCAGCAGCTGGACCTGCGGTGGGTGCGACGTAGATGATTGGTTAAAAATAATACGTTTATAACTAATTTCTTATTGTCAAAAAAAACTTTAAACGGCTGTAAAAATTGTTATGAGATAGATCTTGCCACTAATGTATCAAAGATAAGAAAGAGTTTTCTATTTAACAAAGACATTTTATTATTATCAATTTTTATAGAAAAAGAGGCTGATGGAGGGAGAGATCATAGTTCGTAGTAACGTGCGTAATGCTATAAAGATTTTTACATAGAAATATATTTACAGGTACCCTTGAAACGGAAGTGTTTTTTTCAAAACACATACGTTATTAAAAACAAATTATAAATTCTAATTTATTTGATCTTTCTTTGTAGTATAGATCTTAAAGAAAAACTTCACTTATAGTGCATGTTAATATATTATATGTCCAGGTTCTGTCTAGGTTTAAGTTCAATCATATTTAATCACATTTTAATGTATTATAAGTCCATGTTCTGTATAGGTCTAAGTTCAATCAGATTTAATCACATTTTAATGTCTTATATGTCCAGGTTCTGTCTAGGTTTAAGTTCAAACAGATTTAATCATGAAGTTGTATTTGCAAAATAAGAAACTGGATTGTTCATTTTTAACTAACTATTAGTAAAAAAATTGTCCACTCTTAGATTACTCCATTTTTATTTTACAACAAGGCTGGGCAATAAACCTTCTTCAGTTCTTACCTCAGAGCTAGATCAAACTAAACTGTAAACCTAGAATGTATTTTCTAGTTTCATACCAATGTCATCGCTTGCCTTCCACACCATTTCCATGGTTTGAGTTTTTTGTCTCTTTGACTTGTCTTGGTAATCAATACGTCCCAAGAACAGCCCGTCAAAATACATCTAAAATAATCATTAACATCTTATATAGTAGCTACTGTATTCAATATTTCAAGCACGACGTGAACATTTACTTGAGGTATATCTTAGTTTGTAACAATAATGTTTCACATTAAGTATATATGTCGATGCTCAGAAACAGTTCTTGATATATCACTAGAAATATGAATCAAACGTGAGACAGTTTATTTTCAACATTAAGTTTTAACATTAAATAAAACTCTGACAAGTTTTCCCATGTAAAATTATCTCTGTGTAATGAGCATGACATCACATAAAAAGTTGCGCTTAGTAACATATTTGATTTTTTCTTAATAATAATTCGTTACTTAAACATATATAAATATGCATTTATTAAATAATGTCGTTAAAAACAATCTTTACTGGAAAAATGTAGCATTTAATCCATTTCATGACCATATTATTAGTACATCAGTTAGAAAATAATCATTTCTGTTAGGCTACACACACACACACATAATAACAAATCCTCAATAAAGGAAACTACAACGAACTCAACAAACCTTTCTTCGTGATTAAGGTATATTTTGTTAGATTTGCTATGGTTTGTCTTGTATATATATTTATATATAATAGTATGACGGCAACAACAACAAACATTTTGTACGCGTGTTACGGAAACAAACATTTAATTCTTGAGCGTTTCAGTGTGTATATATATTCCATCTTCAAAAAGCTATATTAAACAAAGTAAAATATTAGGTTTAAAAATTTCTAACAATTTGTAAAGATGAATAAAAATACAGAGTAAAATATGAAGTTAATTAAAAAAAGAATAAGATAGTACAACAATTTAGGATAATGCAACAATTGTAATATAATTATACAAGTTATTCAAAGCAGGTTTAATTGTAGTGAAGTTGTGTTATCATTTAAAATTGAGTGTTTATTATTGTTATTATTGTCGTCGTACTATTATTTATAATTAAATTTCGATTCCTGTCGAATGAATCTGTTGCTAGTATATTTTTCTTTAACTGTCATTCATAACATTGAATTTTAAAAAGTCATGATTAGTGAATAAAGTTTGGATTTTTAAATAGTTTTTTTTCTAAAATATTAAGTTTAAGTATTTATTTATTATATATATATATATACATAAATTGTTTTGCCAAGACTTGTTAAAAACATCTATTTTGTAGCACTAGTGGACAGTTTACGTGTAATTTTGCTCTGGCTACTAAACGTTTTTATCTAAGCTTAAGAAGCTGGTGAATCTAAAAATATATATCCGTTCAGTAGTGCAGTTTCAGCTAACACATTTCTCATTAACATAAAAAATCTAATTATACAATTGCTTTTCAAAAGGTAAAGTTTTGTCCTAAAAAAATGTTGAATAACATTCTCGAATTTTTAAACTAAAATTTGAGAGAAGCAAAATGTCTCGTTAAAAAAGTTTTTCTATTATTGTTGTCAAGAAATCATGTTATTTGTTTTATTTTTAATAACCATTTCTGACGTTTTTATCCTATTGGGATCTAGAACAGAGTTATACATAATAAAAACAAGGAATTAATGTACTTTGTGATTCCTAATCTTACTTTTAAAATATTCTACAGGACTAATGAAATGATAACAAAACTGAAAACCTACATACTTTTCTGCCGTTTTTATCTTATTGGGATCTAGAACAGAGTTATACATAATAAAAACAATGAATTAATGTACTTTGTGATTTCTAATCTTACTTCTAAAATATTCTACAGGACTAATGAAATGATAACAAAACTGAAAACCTACATACTTGTGCAAACAAAGAAGCCTGTTCCCGAGAATGACCAAATGGATCAATCTGCCATCCAATTCGAGGAATCCCACAAGATCCAAAAGTATCCGACAGACGACGGAACCCCCAAGTCATTTGATCAATGATGTCATTGTAGTGGCACGTGGCTTCGTCATTCATGGACCAGCCGCCACCTATAAACTCCAATTGACCTACGACAGTAATGGAATATGGGCCATTTAACACACCAAAAGAATATATATATATATGTGAGAATTTATATTATTTTGAGAAATGTAGTAAATCTTTTTTATGAAGAGCGTTTAAAATATTCAATAGTCTTTGAATGGTTTGTTAGTTACTTAAAACACTATAACCTTTTGGTATAGCTCTGACGAGCTGGGCTCAAACCCGTGCAATACCTCAAAATATTCCCTCACCCCTACTTTAAGTTGTAGGTTCGTTATAAGAGCGACTATCAATCTTTTAGTGTGGATGGTAGGTGATAGGGTACTGTTGACTGGTCAGTAATTTATAATTAAGGAACACAGTAGCTAGCCTCAGTACTATTGGTATAAAAAAATACAACAGTTATTGAAAGTACAAAGAAACCTCATCGTTGTTAGATTTCCAATAGTCATAAACGTCAGCTAATTGAGCCGTATCGAATATTGTATTGTGCTTTTTAAATCTATATATTTCATTAAGCTTATATATTTTATACACAAA